GGTTGTGGGTTTACGGTTTGCTGTGAGCACACCCTGCAGGCGTGTCGAGAACAAAGGGTTGCCGAGTTGGGCAAAAACCTACCTGGCGTCCCGAACTAAGTGCCATATTCCTACACCGAAATCCTCCGGTCCTTTCGCAACGGAAGCCCCCCCTAGCACTGAAACCCTAAGCCTCACCCTAAATCTTCAGCCATCAACCCCCCCACCCGAGTAACAAGCCCCGAAGCAGGTCTGGGCCTAATTCGATCGCGGTCCGCGAAGGCCAGCGCGGAAGTGGTGTAGGGGTTTTTTGGGCTGAAGGAGCCCCGAGGATGTCTAGGAAACGGCCAAGTCTTCTGTGTTGAAGCTCCTTTAAAGGGGCTCTCTGAAGTATGGGCCCTGGGTTGTATGGGGTATATAAGGGGTGTAAGGGGTCCCCTTTAAGGGGCCCATACTACGGGACCATGGAAGTACCCGAAGATTCCGTGGCCTGCGCTTGGGGCTCTCCTTGTTAGAGCTCCCTAAGCCAGGCACAAAACCCATACATCGAGGTGTCGGGCCCATGAGACCCCGAACACCCTGAACCCATGCAGCCTTAAGCCCTAAACTCTAAACTCCAAACCCTAAACCCCAAACCCTAAACCCTAAACCCGAAACCCTAAACCCTAAACTGTTCTTGCCAGGAGGAGACTGCAAAATTCGGAAGGCGGGGAAGGGGTTCAGAAATCGATCCCCCCACGCCCTGCTTTCTGGGAACTGTGGAGGGCCAAGCAACCCCGAACTTTCAAGCCCCCAACCCTAGTCCCTAAACCCTAAACCCTAAACCCTAAACCCTAAACCCTAAACCCTAAACCCTAAACCCTAAGCCCTAAGCCCTAAACCCCCAAACCCCAAACCCAAGACCCAAGACCCTTAAGCCTAATCCCTACAACCCCCCACCAACCCTGACAATACCCAGACCCAAGCGCTCAGCCCTAAAACCTTAGGCCCCATACCTTGAACTTAAGCACTTAAGGCCGGAACTCTCAACCCCAAACTTTTGCCAAAATCCTAAACCCTAAGTCCTATACCCTAAACCCTACACCCTAAACCCTAAACCCTAAACTCTAAACCCTAAAACCCTAAACCCTGTAGTAACCTCTAATCCTGACACAGCCGCTCAAAGTCCGACACCTCAAACTCTGCATCGGCTGAGGGCAGCTTAGGCGTCTTAAGGCTTTAGGGTGTCTTAGAGCTTTGGGTTCAGGGTTTAGAGTTCAGGGTTTAGGGTTCAGGGTTCAGGGTTTGGGTTCAGCGTTCAGGGTTCGGGGTTTAGGGTTCAGGGTTTAGGGTTCAGGGTTTAGGGTTTAGGGTTTAGGGTTCAGGGTTTAAGGTTTAGGATTTAGGGTGTTAAATTCGTCAGGGTCTCATGTCACCATTTGCTTGGGTGCTTCGTCTTGGAGGCGATTAGGCAATCCACTTAAGAACCCTAAACCCTAAACCTAAATCCCCAAAACCTTGAGCCCTAAAACTTGCTCCTAAAATCCTGAAACCTGCACTTAAACCCTAAAGCCTTAACCCTAAAGCCCTAAAACCTTGAAACCTACTCCTAAACACCAAAACCCTACAGAGGAGGAGCCTTCAAAAGGAGGCCTCCAGATATGACAGCCCTCGCACAGCCCTTTGGGGGCTTCCACTGCGACCCTTTGAAAGCGCAAAGTCGTAGGCTTTGGGGGAGGGCAGAGCCCGGGTTGGAGTTACATGAATGTGTTCTGACACTTCACAACAGTCACTCTGTGCCACTTCGCTACATTCTGATACCTTCTTGTGTCGCTGCTGAGATACGATCCTTTTGTTACGTACCCAGTGCATCCCTGAAACCTGGGTATGCTAGGTACAAATACACCTTGAAGCCCTAAACTCTAAAGCCCCCCTCCTAAACAAAGCTTAAAGCAGCAGCCGGAGATGGACACCCAGCACTTTATTGTAGTCTGTTCTTCTTATCACTACAACTATTGTTATTGCTGTCGGATTATTTGTATTATATGCTTGTATTGCCGAACCATCATCATGCGCCATGCTCATGACCGCGATCATGATGATGATCATCATTATCATGGTCTCATGTTGATGATATTTCCGAGCCCTCAGCCCGAAACCCTGAGCCTCAACCCAAGGGGTGCCGAGTCGGTTCGGATCCCTCCCCCTGCTGTACAGCTCACGCGCCCGTTTCAGGGGGCTGCACCCCACCCATTCCCCCATTTCTGCCTCGGAGGCCCTCATCCTTAGAGATCGGAGTCCACGCTGCAGCTGGTTCAGGGTGTAGGGGTTTGGGTTTAGGGTTTAGGGTTCGGGGTTTCTCTGGTTTGGGGTGGATACAATGAAGTGCCGAATACGGTGCTGCACTTTTCCTCATCGAGAGTGTCGTGCTCCTTCGCGGAACCTTTGAAATCTCCGCAGCACCCTGCCCAAGAAGCAAACATGACAACCCTAAACCCTAAAACCTAAGCCCTAAGCGCTAACCCCTAAACCCTAAACCCCAAACCCCAAACCCCAAACCCCAAACCTTAAACCCACCCCCAAACAAATCCAAGCCCAGGATGGCCTGAGGGCAGGGTTCCGGCGTCGTCCCTCGTATCCCGCGGGTTTCCATCCCATACCCATCATTACACCCTAAGGAAGGCTTAGGCAGCTTCGGGGCCAGGGCTTAGTGCGGGGAATCTACACGAATTGCTGGTTGGCAGGAGCAGCGGAGCCTTGTTTTCAAGCGCAGCACAGGAATTCACAGAACTGCTTTCTCCAGTCAGCTCGTTGCACAGGAGCTGCGGGCTTGGGTTCAGGGGTTTGTTGGAGCACCCTCGGATGCCGCCATTCGGAAATTTGTTGATGGGCTTCAGTTGCCTCAGCTTGTTCAATGTGAGGTTGCTGTTGCTGACATGTCGTAGATGGGAGGTTGGTTTCAGGGGACCGCAAATGCCAGCTTCCTGCGACGCCTGTGCCGAGTACTGGGATGTGCAGCCAATCCTACTTTGATATGTGGTAGGTCATCATTGGTTTGGCCATCTCCCACAAGGAGGAAATGCGTTGGTTGTTTGCATCTTCCTTGCTCTTGCGCATGTGGGAGTCATCCGATGAGCTTTGCTGCAGAGTATGCCTCAGGGAGGAAACATTTCAGAGCATGCGCGCAAAGTGCATGGCTTGCCTGCTCCTTATCTAGGACCTGGAGTAAACCCTTTTTAACCCTTTTTTCCTTTTTTCAGGGTTGGGGTTCCATGAAAATCCCCTTAAAACCCAAGAAGGGTACCCTTTTCATTCCTAGGTTACTCCTGGGTCTAGTTATCCCTTCTTGCTTCACCCTCTTGGGACCTGCTTAAAAGAGACCACGCCCGACAAAAGGATGCGTGTGCCTCTTGCAGGCAAGCTATGTGAGCCATGCATTCCATATCCCAAAATGTGGTGGCATCGATTGCCCGGAACACGTGGGGTGCCTCAATTCTCCGGATATCCTTGGCTCTACTCTTAACCATCTTGTCCCTGAGCCTAGGATTCTATCAGGCCTCTCATCCCACAGGACCAGATCGCGAAATTGTTCTCTTTTTTGGGGTCCCTTGTGGTAGTACGGATTCTTATATTTCTGTGTAGCCAAAAAGGGGCCAGAAATTTAGAGAACTGGCAACACGACTTAGACCAGGAAGCAAGAAGCACCCAGGCCAACGGAAAGCTCGTCGCCCTCGGCCCTCAACCCTAAACCCTAAACCTTCAGACCCCTGGGCAGCCTCTGTTCAAACATGCACTTTCCCGGGCTTGGGGCTTTCAGGTAAGTACTCGGATTCTGAGGCTTGGGGCTTAATCTTGTGGCTTTTTGGGTCCCAATTCGGAACTATTCTTTGAGCCTTCCTGTTCTCCAGAATGACCCAGCCTCTCCACGTGATAGCTTCTTTCACGGCGGGGAGTCGGATGAACATATGGCCCATCAGCAACCACTCGTAAGCCTCAAAACCGAGTTGGCACCCCAACCCCAAGCTAACAACTCGGAGCCCACCCTAAACCCTAAACCCTGAACCCTGAACCCTAAATAACTCTACACCCTAAACCAAACCCTCTGTTGAGAGAGAGAGAGAGTACAGAAGTAAAGCGACGTTACAAGCTCAAGCTAGTCTTGAATCATCCGGAGGTGAGGCACTCGGGAAGTTGTACAGACTCTGTCCTCTTGAACGCCTCTGTGGTAGAAACCGGGGAGCCTGACAATGTGGTGAAACAAGGTGCAGTTTCCTCCATTCCCAAACTCAGAGCTTGTGAAACTCACCGCCTGGCAGCAAAGCCTTCATACCCAAAGCAACCCTAAGCGCCTCGACACCATCCTAAACCCCAAGCTCCCCAAACCTATCCCCTGCACCTAAAGAAACCTCCAAAGCACCCTAAACCCTCAACTCTCAACCCTCAACCCTCAACCCTAAACCCCAACCCTAAACCCCATAACATCTCCTTGAAGCCCAGGCCGGGCTTGAGGGGACCGACTGTATGTAGAACACCAAGTGGGGCTCTTGGTTTAGGGTTTAGGGTTTAGGGTTTAGGGTTTAGGGTTTAGGGCAGCAATGAAAGGCTTCTCAAAAAAAAAGGAACTGCAGTTGGCGGTCTTAGCCTACGCTCTTTGGGGAGCCGCGGCGCTTGACTTTGTGAAGCGAGCTTTCTTGCGCTTTCTGGAGTTCTCGCACAGTCTTAGCTGTTTGGCTCATGATGAGTCAGAGCCACGTGAGGCTATCCGAATGCATGAGGGGATGAACATGTCAGACCCAAAGCTGGCGCACATGCCCCAAACCCTAAGCCCTAAACAACAAACACTGAACACTGAACCCTAAACCCTAAAGCCTGTGGAGCCCAAACCCCATGAGCAAAGAGCCTCAAATCCTACAGCATTCGTCCCCTTACCTAGCGGGCTTACCAGGATCCCATTCTAGGAGGACTTTGCAAAGGGTTTAGGGTTTAGGGTTTAGGGTTTAGGGATGCCGATGGCTCATCTCAGCCCCCGTGGGCACAGATCAATGGCCGACAGCCCGCTCTACCGGTCGCCAGGCGAGGTTCAGAGTCTAATTCGGGGTAACCCTAAACCCTAAACCCTAAACCCTAAACCTTAAACCCTAAACCCTAAACCCTAAACCCTAAACCCTAAACCCTAAACCCTAAACCCTAAACCCCAAACCCTAAACCCTAAACCCTAAACCCCAGAGGGGCCTAGGCCTGAAAGCTCATCCTAGTTGCAGTCGATCGCATACTTGGAGGCCCACCAGGATGCTTCTACAGGATGCTTCTAAGTGAGGTTATAAGTAGGGTAACCATGATGAGCCCTAAACCCTAAACCCTAAACCCTAAACCCTAAACCCTAGACCCCAAACCCTAAACCCTACAGTAAACCCTAAACCTCTCTTACCATATATTTAAACCCTATACACCTTCGTGGCTAAGGGTCATTTCTTCGTGGCTAAGGGTCATTTCTTCGTGGCTCAGGGTCATTTCTTCGTGGCGAAGGGTCATTTCTTCGTGGCTAAGGGTCATTTCTTCGTGGCTAAGGGTCATTTCTTCGTGGCTCAGGGTCATTTCTTCGTGGCGAAGGGTCATTTCATCGTGGCTAAGGGTCATTTCTTCGTGGCTCAGGGTCATTTCTTTGTGGCTAAGGGTCATTTCTTCGTGGCTAAGGGTCATTTCTTCGTGGCTAAGGTTCATTTCTTCGTGGCTAAGGGTGATTTCTTCGTGGCTCAGTGTCATTTCTTTCGTGGCTAAGGGTCATTTCTTCGTGGCTAAGGGTCATTTCCTTCGTGGCCCCCCCCTCTACACCCCTCCCGCCCCCCCCCCCTCCCCCCCTCCCCCCCCTCCCCCCCCCTCCCGCCCCCCCCCCTCCCTCCCCATGAAAAATGTAAACTTTTTATTTCTTAATGGTTTGGGAGTCTCTGGGTGGTTTTTTTCGAGAGCCCAAACAGCGGCTCTACTGGAGATTGCTCGACCCGGAGCTGCTGAACCCTAAACCCTAAACCCTAAACCCTAAACCCTAAACCCTAAACCCTAAACCCTAAACCCTAAACCCTAAACCCTAAACCCTAACCTAAACCCTAAACCCTAAACCCTAAACCCTAAACCCTAAACCCTAAACCCTAAACCCTAAACCCTAAACCCTAAACCCTAAACCCTAAACCCTAAACCCTAAACCCTAAACCCTAAACCCTAAACTCTAAACCCATAACTACCCCAATGAACCTTCAAGTAGCATCAGTCACTCGCTCGCTCTGTGCGCCAGGTCCAGCATGTCGGCTCGCGGCTCCTTGGGCAGGTTCAGGGTTTAGGCTTCAGGGTTTAGGGTTCAGGGTTTAGGGTTCAGGGTTGAGGGTTCAGGGTTTAGGGTTCAGGGTTTAGGGCTCAGGGATTAAGGGTTTAGGGTTTAGGGCTTTGGGCAGTTCAGAGTCTTTGGTTTAGGGCCTAGGGCCCCATTCCTAAACCCAAGCACTGAACCGTAAACCCAAACCGTAAGGCTTCGAATGCTAATCCCCAAAGCCTCATCCAACCCCCCCTCCCCCTAAATGCTGAACCTGAGTCCTCTATCGTCAAATCAAGCAGACAGCTGCAACCAACAGCCCTGACCAAGCCACCTTAGACTAGACTTGGTTGTGCTTGTTATACGTCGGGGAAGGAACGCTACACCCTAAAACCCAAAACCAAAGCCCTAAACCCTAATCCCTAAACCCCCAAACCGCAAACCCTAAACCCGAAACCCTAAACCCTGAACCCCAAACCCCAAACCCTAAACCCTAAACCTTAAGCCCAGGCGTGTCAGGGCTCGCCGTACGCCGAGTCGCCGCTGCTACCGGGCTGGCGCCCGCCCGACTGGGAGCCCACGGCGGCTCCTGCGGGGGTCTGAGGGCTCCTTGAGGTTTAGAGCTTAGGGGTTTCGGGGTTTTGGGGTTTCGGGGGTTTCGGGGTTTAGGGGTTTAGGGGTTTAGGGTTCATCATCATCATCATCCTCATCATCATCATCATCATCTTCCTCTTCCTCTTCCTCTTCCTCATCCTCCTCATCATGCATTGTGGTGATTGTGATGCTCTTGCTGCTTGGCAAGTTTCAGGATGCAGGATAGAGTTTTTCGACTTCATGTTGGGTCAGGTTAGCGGCATGTTGCTATGAATGCCCCATGCAGCGGCGGTCAGACTCTCAAAGCCCCTAAACCCTACACCCTGATCCCGAAACACTCAGCTTACTTAGCCAATTTGTTGAACATTTTTTCAAACTTTTTGGGTCTGTTTGTTTAGGAGGAATGATGCAGGTCAATCTTTGTTTCCCTTGATGATTGGAGAAGTATTGGGATGTTGCCCCTCATACGAACAGTTCTTCATAGAGATTATACTCGGGGGTGCCTTCTTCAGGACTGTTAGTAGACGGGGGAACATCTAAACCCGAAGCCCTAAGCCCTAAGCCCTAAACCCCAAACCCTAAACCCTAAGCCCCGAGAAGTAAGTCAAGCCCCTCCCATCGCCAAAGCAGGCCTGGCAGGCCTCCTGGAGCACCGACGCCAGCGCGGGCGCGGACCTCAGGGTTTAGGGTTAGGGTTTAGGGTTTAGGGTTTTAAGGCTTTAAGGCGGTTTAAGGGTTTAAGGGGTTTCAAGGTCTGAGGGTCTAAGGGTCCAAGCATCTAAAGGTTTCAGGGTCTAAGGGTTTAAGGGTTTAGGTTCCCACCTGGCTTGACAGAAGTAGAATTGCGCAGAGGCCTAGCAGAGGCCTAGCAGAACCTGCTTGTAAGAAGTAGGCTCTTGTCATGAACCTCGGTGTGGGGGGGGGGGCGGGGGGAGAGAAAAGTTTTGACGCGACCACCAGGTGCGTATCATACATGGGTTTAGGGTTTAGGGTTTAGGGTTTAGGGTTTAGGGTTTAGGGTTTAGGGTTTAGGGTGAGGTACTATAAACCCTGTTTCATATGGGACTGTTTAGTGGTCATAGGAAGGGATCAGCTTCCAAGAAGGGTTTGGATTCTTCAGTTCTCATGCCCTAAGAACCCTCGGAGCCCAGACTGTAAACCTTAAACGCTTAAACGCCTAACCCCCGAACCTAGAAACTAGAAGCCCAAAAGCCTCTTTGTGCACTCTAGCCTTTCTTCGCGCGTCTTCAAGGCTTGTTGGCGATTTGGGGGGGTGGGGGGTGGGGCACGATTTCGTTGGCAAAGCTATTGGCCCTTGGGCTGAATGAAGCTTAGGTGTGCATGGCGCACCTAGCCAGAGATAAACAAAGAATGGAAACCTGGCTTGTGTACTGTTGCTGTATAGGCGATGATTTGTTTGGGGTGCTAAATTTGCAAGGTACAGATTGCTCTCGGAAGGGTTTCGGTGGCCTCTCAGATGCACAAGTGCTTGGGGCAACTGTTGGGCCATTCAGACCATCAGACCGCAAAAGATGCAACTTCATCGCGCGTCCTTCAGCTCTCTCAGGCGGTAGGTTGGGTGGTGGCTTGCGCTTCGTGCGGAGGAGGGGGGAGGTAAGGATGAAAGGCCAGACTCTCTGAATTCTAGATTCTAGATTCCTGTTCCATGTCCTCATTTGATGCAGGCGGGCGCCGCGCCATCTGAGTGGGGTGGTGCGCCATCTGTGTGCGATTTTCTTGGCCCTAGGCCCTTGTCGCTGAACCCAAAACACCCTAAACGCCCCAAACCCTTTAAATCCACAAAGTCCCACTCGGCACAGCCCTTAGCAGAAGGAACCTTAAACCCCCAAACCTCAAAACCCTTTTGAGGAAAGTCCCAACCCAGGCCTGCAGCTCTCTCCGGAGGGTACCCACAGGCTGGTGGAATTGGTGTTTGGGCTTGTGGCTTTGGGTTTTTTTGGGGCTCAGGGGGGTTATCGCTTGAAGAGCCCTAAGCCCGAAACGCTAAACCCTAAAACCCTCAACCCTAAACCCCTAAACCCTAACCGCTGAAAACCTAGAAGCCCTACAGCCTTCAACCCAGCGACTCCAATGACCCCTAAGGCCAAAATGCCTAAATAGTGAGCCCGCAAACGTTACCGGTCGTCACCAAGGCAGCTGACTCTGAAGCTTATAAGCGCTGAAGGAGGTTAGGGTTTAGGGTTTAGGGTTTAGGGTTTGGGGTTTGGTGTTTAGGGTTTAGGGTTTAGGGTTTAGGGTTTAGGGTTTAGGGTGAAGCGACTCCCAGCATCCTTACACTTTCCCGATAAGAAGTGACCTTAGATGTCTGGTCATGAGGAAGTTACGGGCCAGTTGGGGGGCCTTGGCTAAGACTCATAGGGATCGCGCCATTAGGGTTTAGGGTTTAGGGTTTAGGGTGTAGGGTTTAGGGTTTAGGGTTTAGGGTTTAAATTTGATCTCCTTAGTTCTGGAGCAGCAGCTCAAAACCCCAACCCCTCAACCGAAAGGCGGAACCCTGGTTCCGTGTTACTTGCCAACCAAACCCTGAACCCTAAACCCGACACTCATGAACCCCAAGCCCTAAACCCAAAGCCCAAACCCAAACCCTAAACCCTAAACCCTAAACCCTAGACCCTAGACCCTAGACCCTAAACCTAAACCACCTAAACCCTAAAATGCCCAAATCCTCAACTGCCCCCCTGGGGCCCGGCCAGATTTGTCCAGCTTCTGCAGGAGCCTAGGGCCTCCGCCGTGCTTTGAGGAGGACCTTAAGGTTTAGGGTTTAGGGTTTAGGGTTTAAGGTTTAGGGTTTAGGGTTTAGGGTTTAGGGCCAAGTTCAGGGTTTTGGGTTTGGCGTCTCAAGTCGAAGCAATTACTAGTCAAGCAGCGTGTCACGCAACGCAGCCATACCCATCCGCCCCTTGGAAAAGGTTCACTTTGCATGCTGTTCCTCAAGCCAGCTTTCCTCCGGCCTGTCCTCAGGTTCTTTCTGTGATCCTTATCCCTGCGCGGACAAATGTGAATAAGTCGTGGGCAAACGTGCGCAGGCAAAGAATTTGAAGTTAGGCGTGGGCAAGTCGTGGGCGGTTGCTCGCCCACGAACCGTTCACGAACCAACTGCTCGCTCATGAACTGTTCACGGAATATGTTGCTGGCCCCTTACGCTAAATATACATAGACACGAGAGTGTTTAGGGTTAGGGTGAGGGTCTTAGGGCTTCGAGGGTTTGAGGTTTTCGGGTTCAAGGGTAGACGAGGAAGGGCAAGGGTCCCTGAAAACCACACACCCTACACCCCGAAGCCCCTAGCCCCCCCAAAACCCTGAACCCTGAAACCCTAAAATCCGTACAATCCCAGATTCTAAAGTGGCCCTACCCAAAACCCAAAAGCTGCAAGGAGATCGAGCGGTTTCTGCGAAGCTTAGACGTCGCCGGGAAGCCCAGCCCACCCCCGCACCTTTTTCCGGCCCCCGTAGTTCAGTCAATAAGTGAGTTTCCCAAACTGAGAGTACTGTTTTTGGAGGGGGTTCCCAGAATAAACCATATACTTTTGGGCATATAAGTGGCGAACCCTAATTTTGGAAATGCCCATGTTGATACATTGCCGGAAGTCTTGTTGTGAACGCCAGTCGTTGGTTGTTTGCCAAAGTGTGTTAGATTGTCGCATCCTTCGAATCGTTTCCTGGTGATATCTACCTGAATGGGGCAGAACTAGCTAGTCTGGCACATCAACTACGGGTTCAAGTTTTCGAGGGTTCCAAGATGCACGAGGTGTGGGAATTTAGGGCTCGGCAGTCCCTGGCCGGAAGTGTCATGGGTAGTAAATGAGCAGAATGATAAGACCCCCAAATACGGTTATAACCTGTCGTGCACTGCAGTTGCCCTACTCATAGCCCCAGCTGCAACGACCCATAAGCCTCCAAGTGTGCGCCAGGGCTCCAGTTGCCAGAGCTCCGTGGCGGCAGGAGCGAGAGAGGCTTAGGAGGTCGTCAAGTTAGGGATCTCAGGTTTGCGGTTTAGGGTTTCCGCTGCCTCCCAAAATAGACGGGGCTGCACTAGAGTGTTGGATACCTCTGTTGCCCCTCCCCCGGTCTCTGGGCCGTTGGGGCCCAAGATACTACGCCCGAAAGTTCTGATGATTCTGCTGCGCCACCGGAATTCTAAGGGTTTCGGGTTCAGGGGGAGATCCCTCTCTTGCTTTTAGAGCTTCCTTTCTGTGGCCAGGAGATCCGGCCCGCTCGGATGACACGTCGCCCGGCCTCTTCATGGTGTGGGCTTAGAAGATTCGGGGTGTTGGGGCCTTTTAGGGTAACCTGAGCTGGGTTTCGGGACCCTCTTTCAAGATCCTCTAAGGAACAAGAGGGCCAACTTAGGGATGTATTAAGGGAACCTCTTAGGTGCACATCCCCAAGGGTCCGAGTAGAACTCCCCTGAAGTGAGTAGGCCCGGGCCGCAGCGGTGCCGACGGTCCAAGTCTCCGCCGATCATGTGCCGGTCGGAGAGGTGGGAGCTTGGCATTTGAATCCTAAACCCTAAACCCTAAACCCTAAACCCTAAACCCTCAGCCCTAAACCCTAAACCCTAAACCCTGAAACCCGAGGTTGGGCCCTTTCCTTGATGTCTCATCACTGGGTAAACCCTTGGAGAGACCCCAAGCTTAAGGATACAGGCGTGCGTAAGAGAGAGCGGGGTGTAAGTAACCCTAAACCCTAAACCCTAAACCCCAAATAAGCCTTTAGCAGACCTTCATGAGAGAACATGGGCCTTGAGGACTACGCCCTTGAAACGGATCGAGTCCCACACCCGACTGTACATCCAGTCGGCTAGCACGTAGCGCAGCACAAAGCCACAAAACCTGAAGCGAAAAACTCTAAACTCTGAACCCGACAACCCTAAACCTACACCTAGACCCTACCTCCGACCCAAAGGACAGAACCCTCAAGCTTTTAGCCTCCTAGGTCTCGGGTTTGGGGTTGAGGGTTCCCAAACCCTAAACCCTAAACCCTAAACCCTAAACCCTAAACCCTAAACCCTAAACCCTAAATCCTAAACCCTAAACCCTAAACCCTAAACCCTAAACCCCAGGTCAGCTTGAAGATTAGCGCTCTTGTGGTCTTAATGCTTAGACAACTCCAAGAAGGGCAGCAAGCAACTGGAAACTATTCGCGCACAGTTGCTCCTCATCTGACATCCAGAAGCCCCCCCCCTCTTTTTTACCTCGACAACCTTCCAAGCCCCAAGATATCTCGAGATGCAAGACTTTCTGCCGGTCTACCTGTCCATCTCTCTCTCTCTCTCTCTCTCTCTGCCTCTGCCTCTGCCTCTGCCTCTGCCTCTGTCTCTGTCTAGTACCTAGGGCATTGCTTGCGGGGGTTCCCGAAAAACCTAGTCTTGAGTCAGCAACTAAGATTCCTGACGTGCATAGGCTGAACCCCGCGGATGCCTTGGAGCGTCTGCCAGAGGAGGCCGACAAGTGCTACTTGGGGGTTCATGGTACTTATTAACCAATTAGAACTATACTTATAGCCCACTGACAAGCCCCTGAAGCGCCCTAGTATGGTTACAAGTACAGTTATCAGTACAGTTATAAGTACAGCTATAAGTACAGTTATAAGTACAGTTATAAGTACAGTTATGAGTACACTTATATGTACACTTATGAGTACAGTTATAAGTACAGTTATAATTGGTTAATAAGTGCCATGAACCTTCAAGTAGGGCTCCCGGAGTGGCCCCAAACGCGAAACTCTAAACCTACAGGGTTCGCCTTTTATACCCTCCCAAAACAATCAAGCGAACCCAAAATGAGTAGTTACCCTAAACCCTAAACCCCGCCCCAAACTCTCAAGCACCAAAACCCGATGCCCATAAACCCAAATTCATAAACCCGCAAACCCTGAAGCCGCCAAAGCCCCTAAACCCCTAAACCTGACCCAGAACCACTGAAACCCAGAACCCCCTAAACCCTAAACCCTAAACCCTAAACCCTAAACCCTAAACCCCAAGCCCTAAACCCTAAACCCCAAACCCCAAACCCCAAACCCCAAACCCTAAACCCCCGATTGTCGATGGCAGGCCTTCGCTGCCGTCCCAGCGCCGCTTCTCAGCTGCGGCCGCTGCGGCCGGCGCTTCTCCGCCACGCGGCTCGAGGCCCTGGGGCCCGCTCTCTTTGTCATAGTGAGGCAATTAGCATTTTACATCTTTAAGGGTACTTAAACACAATAAGGAATATAAGTTTTAAAATTTTTTAGACCATCCCAACCATGAATGAGCTCTGGGGGGTCGTGGGTGCTTGTAAGTAGGGCTTAGGGAATTACGGTTTGGGGTTTAGGGTTTAGGGTTTGGGGTTCGGGGTTCGGGGTTTGGGGTTTAGGGTTTAGGGCTTAGGGTTTGGGACTTAGGGTTTAGGGTTTAGGGTTCATGGTTTAGGGTCAAGTCGACCCTGGTTCATGGGTCTTATAAGTCGGGTTCGAAGGACCCTAAATAAGGTTTTACCCACAGTTCCCCTGCTGACTACATTCCTTAGAAGTGCCCATGAAACTCCAAGCAGGGCATCCTTATCCTATGAACCCCTAAAAAAACTCTAGAAGCCTCTAGAATCCCTGTAATAACCTTCTATATACCCTATAAACTCCAGAAGCCTTACAAAGCCCTATAAACACTATAAGCCCTATGAATCCTCTAAACCTGCAAAGCCTGTAAGCCCAATGGCCTCGAGCTTAGAGGTTTAGGGGTTTTCGGGGGGTGGGGCTCGGGGTCGGCTAGGGCGCAGCCTGTTAAAAAAGGACAAGCTGGGAAGTTAGGGATGCGCCAGTGTTGAGGGCTTCGTGGCTTTGGTTTGCCAATGTGGGCTTAACATTCCTGAGCGGAGGCTTCCCGAAACGAGCCAGCCCTTATGCTCAAAGCCTGGTGAGAAGCCCTCAGCCTTGAAGACCGAATGGCAGAGCGAGGGTCTCGAAATCCCGCGAGGAGCTTCCAAAGCGAAGCATCCCAAGCGGGATACGGGCCCAACTGCGACGTGGGTTTAGGGTTTAGGGTCTGTAAACCCTCAACCCGAAACCCTCAACCCGAAACCCTAAACCATAAACCGTAAACCGTAAACCCTAAACCCTAAACCCTAAACCCTAAACCCTAAACCCTAAACCCTAAACCCTAAACCCGCAACCCGAAACCATAAACCATAAACCCTAAACCCTAAACCCTAAACCGGGCTTAGGGTTTTCCAGCATGGTCGACCGATCGACTTGGCCCTGCTTTCGGGTTTAGGGTCTAGGGCTACTTGGGCTCTTGTCGAGGCTTCAGGGTGTAGGGCGAGTTGGTCAGAATTTCACTCGGGGAATTTAGGGTTGAGGGTTTAAGGGATTTAGGGCTGAGGGTTCAGGGCCCCAGCCTACAGCCGCCCCAGACCCCATAGGCTCCAAGACCGAAGCACCCAGACCATCTCGACAAAAGGTGCATGAAGCCATCTGCTTTTCGACGGCACCCTGGCAAGCATTCCAGATGGTGTTGGGGTTTTGGATTCGGGTGCCTTTTTCGGGTTGAGGGTTTAAGGGCCTTTTTCGGGTTTGGGGTTTTCCTGCCCGGTACTTCGTACTACTTTGGATCTAACGTGCTTGCAGGGAAGCTTGTGGTTTCATCCATGAACCCCGAACACTTTTGGTTTTTAACAAGGAAGTATCCCCATATGTGTCACCCCTGTCAGAGACCTACTGGGAGGGAGGGAGGGAAGGGGAGGGGAGGGGAGGGGAGAGGGGGGGGGGGGGGGGGGGGGGGGGGGGGGGGGGGGGGGGGGGGGGGGGGGGGGGGGGGGGGAGGGAGAGAGGTGGGCGTAACTTTACCGAGCTGGAGCGAGTGGTTCGGGGGTTTTTACATCCGAGCGAGCGAATACGACTTACACTAAACCCTAAACCGGAAGCCCAAAGCCCTGAACCCTAAACCCTCAAGGCCCTGTAACTTGAAATTTTCAAAGTCAAAAAAGAAACTTTCCTCGAAACTTCCCCGGACCTGAACCCTTAATAATTTCAACTAAACCCTAAACCCTAAACCCTAAACCCCAAACCCCAAACCCTAAACCCTAAACCCTAAACCCTAAACCCTAAACCCTAAACCCTAAACCCTAAACCCCAAACCCCAAACCCCAAACCCCAAACCCTAAACCCTAAACCCTAAACCCTAAACCCTAAACCCTAAACCCCAAACCCTAAACCCTAAACCCTAAACCCTAAACCCTAAACCCTACACCCTAAACCCTGACTCCACGGCTCAGACTTCGACCGTGAAGCGTGGGGTCTTCGAGTCCCAACGCCAGAGGCTGCTAGGCCTGGCATTCGCCGGCCCACCGGAGGCACCTCCAGGTAGCTATCAATGGCTTAAGGCTGAGGGTTTAGGGTTTAGGGTTTAGGGTTTAGGGTTTAGGGTTTAGGGTTTAGGGTTTAGGGTTTAGCCCCCAAAAATATATAGTATTCTTCCTTATAAGGGTGATATAGGGATCATTGTTTTTGTTTTTGTGGGGGTTCTGAAGCAAATAGTAGGTTCAGGGAGTTTATGTGTTTATGGGTCTTGGGGTTTGGGGTTTCGGGATGTAGGGGTTTAGGGTCTAGGGGGTATAGGGGGTTTAGGGTTTAGGGGTTTGGGGTTTCGGGTTTGGGGTTTAGGGTTTGGGGCTTAGGGTTTAGGGTTTAGGGTTTAGGGCCCAAGGTGTGGCTTATGGGTTTAGGGTGTGAGAGGCGATTGAGGGTTCGTGGATGCATGGGGCCGGCTCCGGGTGACGAGGGTGCCTGGGCTTTTTGGGGGGTCCTTGAAGTTCAAAGTTCGCCCTCGCCACGTTAAGGGTTTAGGGTTTAGGTTTAGGGCTTAGGGCTTAGGGTTTCGGGTTTAGGGTTTAAGGCTTGGGCTTTAGGGCTTAGGGCTTATTTTGTCACCCTAGGCCCCGACAATGGCCCCTTTTGCTTGGCAGGCCAGTGGTGCCCTTTGCCCTTTTTTTGGTTCTAGGTACGCTTATAAATAACCAGCCCAAAAAGGGTACCCTTATCACAGCATGGTACTAGGCTACCAAGCTTGAAGTCTCCTAAATCCTAAACATAAGTCTCTGCACTAGAAACCCTTAGACCCTACCCTCAGCCCTAAAAACCCTAAGCCCGAAACCCTCAACCCCAAACGCTAAACCCGAAACCCGACACTTGAAACCCGAAACCCGAAACCCGAAACCCGAAACCCTAAACCCTAAACACCAAACTCTAAACCCTAAACCCAGCTTTTGCCGCCTTCCACCCTGGTTTGCAACCGGAGGCAGGGTCGAAACCCAGCGGGCGGCCTCCACCTTCAGAGGTGCCGGAGTTTCAGGGTTTCGGGTTAGGGTTTAGGATTTAGGGTTTAGGGTTTAGGGCCTGGGGTCTAGGGTTTGGGGTTTAAGTACAGGTTAGCCACATGTGGTCTGAACGAAATTGCGGCCCCTTTGTTCCGTCCAGGTTTTGAATATCCTTAAACCCTGAACCTTAAACCCTTTGTAGATTCAGCATGCCATTCTATAGCTGGAATCTTTCCTCGCTTCCCATGTTACTGTCTTGGATGCTCGCTTCATCTTCGGGTAGCCTATGTCATTTTTAGGTGCCTGATTGAAATCCTTGTCGTTCAGGCAAATTATGAATGTCGCCTTCATCTCGTGTCATCAAGAAGCCCTACAAGTTCAGTGAGTCATATGTCGAGTGTCTTTGTAGTTGTCTTCATGGGGCAAGCATTCTGACCGCCCCAACAAATCTAATGCCAAATGTTGCATTTCACCAGTTTAGGATGGGTTTGTTCTATAGTTTTTTAGGACGGTTATTGTTTCTGAGCCTTTTGTACCGTTCAGACGCCTAAGATGGGACAATGACTTGCCAACAAGACTCAACGAAAACAGGTGAGTTTTTTCTACCTCTGGCATCCAGGTCCAAAGACATCAAGGCTCAGGAATCATAGGGTCAATGGCTGTTGTCTTTGTCGTGTTTCCTCTTTCGTTCCCAGGCTTGAGAAAAACAGGGCATGCAATGTCACTCAAATTCGTTAGTCAGCGAAAGCAGCAGGCCTTCTTACTCATTCAGAAAGCGAACATCGAGGCTGCCTGCACCCGGACACCTGAATTCCCAAAACATCTTACACCCCGGCCCAAGAGCCTGACTTCCAAACAACTCAAACCCCTAAACCCCGAAACCCTGAAACCCACCCCTAAGCCCGATACCCCTATACCCCTAAACCCTAAACCCTAAACCCTAAACCCGAAACCCGAAACCCGAAACCCTAAACCCTAAACCCTAAACCCTAAACCCTAAACACTACACCCCTGAACACGAAACCTAACCAGCAGCCCGCGTGGTGCGGAAGGGAAAGATGCTGCAGCGCCCGGCCTCCACGAAGGCGCCAAGGACACCCAGAGAGAGGGGGGGAAGGATGCCCCTGGCGTGTAGGGCCCTAAACCCTAAACCCTAAACCCTAAACCCTAAACCCTAAACCCTAAACCCTAAACCCTAAACCCTAAACCCTAAACCCTAAACCCTAAACCCTAAACCCTAAACCCTAAACTCTAAACCCTAAACCCTAAACCCAAAACCCTATACCCTATACCCTATACCCTATACTCCCAAAACCCTAACCCGTTCTTAAGCTGGCCATCAGGACTTTTTTGGCGTTCATGTGGAGGCATGCAGATTCCTGTGGCTTTAGGGGTTTAGGGTATGGGGGTGTTGAGGCTATTTCACGCACCTTCTTCAAGGCCTTCCCGCAACCTCAGGAGACCCTCTTCGCAAGGCCGGTCCAAAACTTGGTGAAAGCCAGCTCATGCCTCATCACACCTCAATACCTCCAGCCACCTCAAGCTTTTTTTTGGGGGAGGGGGGGTGTGGCTGGGGTTTAGGGTTTAGAGTTTAGTGTTTAGGGTTTAGGGTACGCCCCTAAAAATGCAAGATCACGACGTCAAGCGAAACCATCCAGAGGGCAAATAGCCGAGCAACACTTGTGCAACGGGCAAGGCACCTCGAAAGAATTTCCTCCCCCCGCTTAGGGTTCAAGGTTGGGGTTTTGGGACTTAGGCAGAACGTTTGCCAGATTGCTTTCGGAATGATCTTCGCTCTTGGCCTTATGCATATTTTGATTCTACAGATGCATGCAAAGTGTAGGTTTTTAAGACAGCTCTAAGCACAGCTGGGGCGAGTTGAGTTCCAAGCCCAGCCGAATGCGCATGAACTTGGGACGTAATACGCTTATGGCGCGTCCACAGCGCAGGGCGTTCCCAAACGCATAGATCAGTTTGGCCCATTTTGCTTCACGTCTGCTGGGCGTATCAACGAGCCTTATATTTTAAAGTCTTATAACCCTGAACCCCTTTGAGCCCTACAAGCCCGAAGTCCCTACAAGCCCCATACACCTTGCAAGCAATGTGCACAAGCCCCAGAAAAGCAACTCAAACTCAGTTCACCGAGAATCCGGCGAAGGAAGCGCAGCCGTGTGCCTTCCCGAACAGAGCCAGGCGCTTTGCCTTTAGGGTTTAGGGTTTAGGGCTATAGTGCTTCTAGGTACGAGGTTTAGAGGGCGTGTACGGTTTTCAGGGCTTACATGGTTCCGGGGTTTACAGGGCTTGCAGGGCTCGTTCCCTCGATTTCAGAGGCTTCTGCATTGGAAAGGACATTCCCCCTGGTTCTTAGCAGGGAATGAGGGAATTTTGGGCCCTACATATACCCTTCAAGGGATTGTATCGGGTACCTTATTCCCTCATTCCCTACCAATAACCAGCCAGGTTCGTTCAATATGGGTCAAAGATGTGTTCCATCAAGCCGCTACATGTTGCTCGCATGTCATGATCTGAGTTTGGATAGAAGCTACAACTTGCAGTGGAGAAATGCCAGATTTCTGAGAACATGTAGACTTGAGTTGTTTCCTTATGAGAAGAATGCAGAGAATTTGTCTCGAAATGTTGAGATTTTTGGAAGTGCTGCATTGTGAAATATCTTCGCACAGATCTTCGTAACAGTTCAAACACAGTCAATATACCATACCCAATTACTTTATCCAACATCCTCATCCCAGAACCGTTCACGCTTATACCTGACCCCACTCTGCTTCCCCCAAATACCCCCCCCCCCCCCGCCAAAAACAAAAAAACAAACACCAATAACACAGAAACAAAACATAAGGAGGAACGCAAATAGAAGAAACAACCAGGTTCCAACGCAACTCAGTTAAGAGACTTTCGGCTGAAGCGTTTCGATCAAAACGTTTCGGTCACCACGACCCGCGCTTCCTCCACCACATTCCGGAATCATGGGCGAGCGAACCCAGATGCCCAGCGCCCTCAAGTAAGGAAGGGTTTTCGGAGGTTGTGGGTTTTGGGGGGGTACTTGGAGGTTCATGGGTACTTAGAAGTAAGGTTCGAAGGAGGTTAACTATGGTTATAACCGCATTCCCTAGTTATAGGTACCCAATGAACCTTCAAGTAGACCGTAGACCCCAAACCCTCAACCCTCAACCCTAAACCCTGGACCCTAAACCCTAAACCCTAAACCCTAATTCCTAAACCCTAAGCCCTAAACCCTAATTCCTAAACCCTAAACCCTAAACCCTAAACCCTAAACCCTAAACCCTAAACCCTAAACCCTAAACCCTACAAGTATTGGAGTCTCTTGCTTGGAAGGTGCTCTCCGTAAGGAGACGACCGAGCTCTGCACCCCACAAAGAAGGCCAGGGCTTGCCGTGCAGGGTTTGGGGTTTAGGGTTTGGGGTTTAGGGTTTAGGGTTTGGGGTTTAGGGTTTGGGGTTTAGGGTTTGGGGTTTAGGGTTTTAGGGCCTAGTTTTGTGGGGGTTAAGGGTTTGTTAGGGTTTAGGGCCTAGTTTTGTGGGGGTTTAGGGTTTTAGGGTTTGGGGTCTAGAGTTTGGGGTCTAGGGTTTGGGGTTTAGGGTTTGGGGTTTAGGGTTTAGGGTCTAGGGCCTAGTTTTGTGGGGGTTTAGGGTTTGGGGTTTAGGGTTTGGGGTTTAGGGTTTAGGGTTTAGGGTTTGTGGTGTAGTTGTTTTGGTTTTGGGCACAACACCCTCAAACCCCGAAAGCCCTAACAAGCCCTAGCAAGCCCTGCAACCCCCAAACCCTAAACTCTAAACCCTAGACCCTAACCCTAGACCCTAGACCCTAGACCCAGACCCTAAACCCTAAACCCTAAGCCCAAAACCCTGAACCCTAAACCCTAAACCCTAACCCTAAACCCTAAACCCTAAACCCCAAACCCTAAACCCTAAACCCTAAACCCAAACGCCACGTTGTCTCTCCCCAGGCCGCGCCGGAGTGGAGTCTCATCAACGCCGGCGCAGCGACCGAGGCCCCAACGGGTTCACTCTCCGGAGGGTGTGATGGTTAGCGTTTGGGTTTAGGGTTTGGGGTTTGGGGTTGGGGGTTTAGGGTTTAGGGCTTAGGGTTTAGCGTTTAGCATTTAGGGTTTAGGGTTGAGGGTTGAGGGTGTTTGAGGGCTTAGGGGCTTTAGAGTGTTTAGGATGCTATAGGGCGTTTAGGGGGTTCTACGGTTTTTGGGGTTACAGGGCAGTAGCACAGGGTTTTTAGGGCTTTGGTTTTTGGGGGTTTAGGGTTTTAGGTTTGGGGGGTCTGTGGTTTAGGATTCTGGTTTTCGGGGTTTTGGGGTTTGCGGTTGGGGTTCGTTTTTTTTTTTTTTTTTTTTTTTTGGGGGGGGGGGGTTGGTGCAGGGTTTGGAAGGTTTTCTGTTCTTGCGTGTTGGGGTTAGTCTTTATGTAACTTGCAGTGTCTTGGATTTAGGATTTCGGGCTCAGGGGCTAGGATGTTGCCGGCGAGCTCTGTGTTACAACCTGTGTTAAGGGAAGCTCCTAGAAGGGGGCTCAATCCCAAACCCCAACTCCTAAAGCCTCAACCCTCAAACCGTCACGGCCCAACACGACTAAAAGTGGTACCCGGCCGCAGGCGAACGAGCCGCTCTGCTGTCAACACTCCGGACAAGGAGGTCACCGGTCACCAAAACATTTAGGGTTTGGGGTTTAAGGGGTGTGTAGATCCATTGCGCCTTCATAGTCTATTTCTAGCTAAGAACGACATGTGGCACAACATGACCCCCAGGACCCTGACTTCCTAGCCTCAAAGCTTCGAAGCCCTAGGAGCCCTAGGAGGCCTTTGTCGCCCCAGACCCCTCATGAGGTGCCGCCTTCACCTCGCACGGCGTCGACCGCAACGCGCCGTAGAGAGGCGAGGAATTGGGATTCAGGGCTGGCACCGAAAGGGGCTTAAGCCCCCGAACCCTGGCGACCCTCAAGCCCAAGGAGCCTGGATCACCCGAAAGGGCCTCTCAACGAGCACCGAACCCCTAAGGCCTGAAACGCTAAACCTTGCAGCCCTAAGCCCGAGACCCACAACCCCTGCAACCTGAACCCTAAACCCTAAACCCTAAACCCTAAACCCTAAACCCCAAACCCTAAACCCTAAACCCTAAACCCTAAACCCCAAGCCCCAAATAGGATCCCAGAGAGGAGATCTGGCAAAAGCAGCTCCGCAGCTTTAACTCGAAGCATGCCTTAGCAGGGCTCCAATCGGCTACTCCCATGGTCCTTACGGGTCCCTTCTGCTGGGTGTTTTCTTACGAGGACGCGCCCTTGGAATCCTATGACGCCCTATATCAAGAAGTCCCAGACACACATAGAAATCCATCCTGTGGTTTCAGTGGTTCGGGTTTGCCCCAAAATTGCCCTGAGTTCCTACGTCTTCAACTCCTTATTGAAGCCCCCAGCAGAGGCTGGTCCCACGGCCACCAGGAAGCGGGCGCCCCCGCGAGTTTCCGAAACCTCTGACGCGAAGGCAGGCAAGCTGAGACCATATGGGGTTTCCGAAATTAGGGGTACCTTATCGGGGTGCTTTTTGTAAGGGAATCCTACTACTTGGGGGTCTATATTAGGGGTTCCCTATTTCGTAAACCCCCGCCATATAGTTGCATAGGGAACCGGGCGGGGGCGTGTAATCTAAGGGTAGTTTCATGGGCCCTTAATTTGGTCCCTTACCTCCTTTAAAGGGTTCTGATGTATGGGCCCTTCATGTGTGTAGGGTATAAACGGGGTATATAAGGGGTCCTCCTTCTAAGGCCCCGTACGAAGGGACCATGTGACTACCCCGAGATGTAAGGCCCATACACCCTAGTAGAAGTCCTTATAAACCCAAGTAGGTCCTTCATAAGCCTGAGGAAACTATGGGCCCATGGCACCCTTGCCGTCCTGGTTCCTTAGGCAGTTTGCGGTTTACGGTTCAATGCTTAGGTCCTCAAGTGTTCTAGGGACCTTGATCCCTCAACAGGAGCCACCTTCACCTAGCGCGGTGGAGACCGGAACGAGCCCTACAGAGGCGACTGGGCTTTGGGGGCGGATTTTTTGGGCGCCCGCGGGCGGTGGGTCACCGAAGCAGTTGCTTAGAGGGTTGAAAAGTTGAGAGAGTATTCGAGTTCGGTTTGCCGGCGTCGCCCGCTGGTTTCGAGGAGCTCGCTGTAATGATGTACCTTTTTAAGTCTGGGCCACCTCTATAAAGACAGTATGCCCGGCTATTCAGGATCGGGGGGGTGCAGTGGGTCCCTCCTCTACAAAGACAAGTGTCTCCGGGATGATTGTTTTGTTTGGGTTAAGAACCCTGAGTCCCCTCAAGCCATGAGATGCTACCCCATTCTAGGATTTCGGGAGGTTCGGGGGCCACCCCATAAACCTCATAAGTCGGGATGCTCACCCTTATACCAACAGTCCTCCATTCTTATTATAGTACCCCCCCGATCTATTCTCCATTAAGGACTGTTAGCATTAGGGGGAACATCCCAACCCATAAGCCCTAGAAGCCCCACGCAGAGGCTGATCCCACGGCCGCCGGGAAGAGGGCATCTCCGCGATCTCCCGAAGCCTGCGATGCCAAGGCACCATGTGGAGAGTGATGGAGGCAACCTTTAGGGTTTAGGGTTTAGGGTGTAGGGTTTCGGGTTTAGGGTTTAGGGTTTAGGGGTTAGGGTTCGGCCGGGGAATTCAGAGTTTAGACCTGGGGGCTTCCGTTCAAAAAGCCAGGGGTGCATAGGTATAGTGCGAATCTTGTGTGTGTCCGGCTTGGGTTCTTGCAGGGTACAAGGTATCGACATGCCCTCGGGGCTGTCCAGGTTGCCTCCCCGCCTTTCACTGACGCAAAGCTCGCAGCAGCCGCAGTCCACCACGGCGAGCACGGCGATCAGGTGCAGGCGGGACCATCAGACCACACAAACCCCACAAGTCGAAGCTCCCTAAGCCCCCAAAGCCCTAAACCCGAAACCCTAAACCCTAAACCCCAAACCCCAAACCCTAAACCTTCCCATTCCGCTTCGGCATCCCGGGTGCGGGCGCCAAGGCGTTGGAGGCAGAGGCAGCGGCCTCCCAAGCGGGTGGCGCCTCGCAGAAGGCGGACGTTTCGTTGCTTGTCAGGGGCCACAGGGGGGGTTTAGGGTTTAGGGTTTAGGGTTTAGGGTTTAGGGTTTAGGGTTCAGGGTTCAGGGTTCAGGGTTCAGGGTTTAGGGTTCCACTGGAAGGGCCACCCTCGAGGTTGGGATTCTGGGTTTTCCTGCAAGAGAGGGTTTCGGAGTGTTTTGGTCTTTTCGGGTGTTGGGCTTAGGAGGAGCCTGTGACGGATCCGATTTGCGACCCCGAGTCGGAACTCCGAGGGGGTCTCGAAAGAACAGAAGGAGAGAGACCCTAAACCCTAAACCCTAAACCCTCAGCCCTAAGCCCTAAACCCTAAACCCTAAGCCCTAAGCCCTAAACCCTAAACCCTAAACCCTAAACCCTAAACCCTAAACCCTTAGCCCTAAACCCTAAACCCTAAGCCCTAAATCCCATGAGGCCTCAAGGCTCAAGCCTCAAGCTCCGACCTCCTCGAACCCGGCCCCAAAACCCCGAGCAGCTGATTTCAAGCTCCCAAGCCCCAAACCCTAAACCCTGAACCCTCAAGGCCTTCAAACCTAAGCCCTTCTTGTAGGTTCATGTAGGGTAACGATGGTTGTAGCCTTATGTCGGGTCCTTATCACCCTACAGAGATGTACCCAGTGAACCTTCAAGCAAACCCTTAATCCGAAGCCCTAAACCCGAAACTTCAAACCCTCAACCACCCCAAACCCCAAACCCTAAACCCTGAACCTTACATGAACCTTCAAGTAGAGAAAGAATCCCCGAGTGCCAGGATGACGAGATGGACTTGCACCTGGCGGCAGTGCGATGGGAGCGGCTTGCCAGGTCCCTGTGCTTTGCGGAGGCATGGGCCTCCCAATCCCATCAATGGCGGTGCGGGTCAGGGGGTTAGGGTTTAGGGTTTAGGGTTTAGGGTTTAGGGTTTAGGGTTTAGGGTTCAGGGTTCAGGGTTCAGGGTTGAGGGTTCAGGGTTCAGGGTTCAGGGTTCAGGGTTTGTAGGGTACAATCACTGGGCGGCAGGGGGGGGGGTAATGTAATGCAGAATGGTTATGGCAACTCAGTTTTGAGTTCCTTCTCAGCTCTAGTTGCTGTTTTGCCTAAAACCGAACCCCTAAACACTAAACCCCTAAACCCTAAACCCTGAAACCAAGCCCTAAACCCTAAACCCTACACCCCAAACCCTAAACCTTAAACCCTGAAACCAAGCCCTAAACCCTAAGCCCTAAGCCCTAAGCCCGAAACCCCTAAACCCTCAGCCCTAAGCCCGAAACCTAGGCCCTAAAACCCTAAGTCCCAAACCCTAAGCCCTAAGCCCCTCAACGCGACGGTCCGTTTCGAGGAGCTGAGGCGACTGGAGCAGCTCGGTGCGTCGACCGACTCATCCGACTCCGGTGAGCTGGAGGATCGGCTCAAGCCCCGACACTAGGACCCAAAGCCGTAAGCCCTAAACCCTAAACCCTAAACCCTAAACCCTAAACCCTAAACCCTAAACCCTAAACCCTAAACCCTAAACCCTAAACCCTAAACCCTAAACCCTAAACCCTAAACCCTAAACCCAGGAGGCCATGGCCAAGAGCAGCCCATCAGCTCCCTTGGCGTCCACTTCACTGAGCTGGTCGAACTTGGCTCGCGGACTGGACTTCGCCGAGGAGCTTGGGGGGGGGGGTTTAGGGTTTAGGGTTTAGGGTTTAGGGTTTAGGGCTTAGGGTTTAGGGTTTAGGGGTTAGGGGTTTAGGGTTTAGGGGTTAGGGGTTGAGGGTATTGGGTTTAGGATATTTCGGGGCTTTTGGGATCATAGTGTAATTAGTAAGGCCCCCCCCCCCATATTAGGTTTTTAAGCAAAAAGTGTGTGTTTCAGGTTTTGGGGGGGCTTTCGGGGCTTCAGGCCTTCAGTCTCTTGGCTCGAGAAACCCTTTTGTGTTCTTGTTTGTTCTGTCCAGCGAGGGTGTGCAAGGTAGGCGCTCCAGATGTAGGTGGGCTGAGACTTGAGGTGTTCGGAGATGGTACCATAAACCCGCAACCCTAAACTTGAAGGGACTTAGGTGCCCAGCGGGGTTTTGCGGGAATTTAAGGGGTTTTGAGTTTTGCTATTTTAGGTTGAGGGTTTTGGGTTTTTGGGCTTTAAGGTGTTTGGGTTTTTTCGGAGTCCAGGGTTCAGGGCTTCGGCTTCCTGGTTTGAAATTTGGTGGGGGCGTCCAGGGTTCGGGGTGAAGGGCTCTGCTTACAGGGGGCTTGGTTTGAGGTTTAGGGTTTTGGGTGTAGGGCTTAAGGGTGAGGGTGGCACAAGCACTCGCCGCTTAGGTGTCGGCCTGTGAGCATGCAGGGCTTGAGGGCTGTGAGCGTGTCTGGGTATGTTGAACTGGGAAGAGATGTCAAAGCTTTTTATGAGGCTTGCATTTCTGGCCCCCCTGTGCAGTTTAGTTAGGATTTCGAGGGTTCAAGGCTTAGGGTTTAGGCAACTAGCACCCCTTCCGCTTGCGGATGACCAAACAGCTTGCACCGTGGCGCGAGCTATTTGGTCGCAGGGAAACATCTATGGCGTTTTACCATGTTAAAACAAGTTTTCAGGGCCAGCGTTCTGCCCCCAAAAGCCTGTGCAAGTAGCGTACTCGTCGCCCTTTGTTCGGTTGCCAACAAGAAGCAAGAACGAAGAACGGAGACTAACAAAAAATTGCAGATCTGCAGAATTTGTTTTTTGCTATACGTTAACACCACTGACCAAAGCGGTGTTTCAATTTTGTGGCGGATGCGATGTGTATGTGCCCCCGGTTTGCGTGCGCTGTTTTGGTTCGCATGCGGAGTTCCCTTGTTGGGTTTCTTGTGCCAAGTGTCTGCAGCAAGCGGGGTCGTACCGCTTCTACACTTCACTTTTCGCAGCATCGCTACATGCACTTGCATGCACACACATTCACATTCACTTATGCTTAGAAACGATGGAAAGAGGTAAACGTTTCATGTGTGAGCCGCTTCATGTTCATCAAGAGCTTCTTTCTATTTTTTCTCATCGCCATGTTGCTGTTCCTGCTGGTATTCATTCTTTTGGCTGTCCACGTCTGAGAGTGTGTTGGGTGAGTGACAGTATTTTGGCAAGTGGTGCGTGTATACCTGTTGATGAAGTTACAGGTTCGTGGACATTTGAAGATCCACCACCACCGCGTGTTCTGCTCAGCACGAGTTGCTCTTGCTGCTTTTCACTCGTGGTGACGCGCTTTTCTTGTACTGGAACAGGTACGTCGGAGCAAGAGAGCAGCTGCTTTCTTACTTTTTAATTGGCGTCTGCTGTGCTCTGTTGTCATTACGCCGTGTGAGATGAGCTTGCGAACATGTGTCTCAGGCAATTCGAGCCCGTTTGAAGCTGGTGGGCTCCCTACATGCTGCTTGTGAGAGTAACTTAGGTTCGCTCTTGCAATATAGTTGCATTCTTTAGTCTGTGCTGGGGCAGGCTCATCGGATGGACGTGAAGCACGAGACGTTTTTACATTCTCAAGTGTTTTGCATCAGGCTCGTCGTCGTGCCCTTTTGAAATTCGGTGCTAGCCTTACTTGTTGTTCTTGGACGAGAGCCTTGCGCCGCCTTTGTTCTGACGATCCAATTTGGCAGGCACGCAATTTTGGATCTTTTGTCGAGGTGGGACATGCTCGCTTCCCCCATTCCCATCCCAAGCAAGACGGATTGCATTCTTGGACTTGAGATGGGGGCTCTCGTGCATTTGCTTGTTGAAAGGGCCTCGGGGTGACGCTGCGCGCTCGTGTCAGTGGCAACATGCTGGTCCACTGTCTCTTGTTCGCGTACAATGCCATAGAAGTTCTTGATTCAAGTGAGTGGAATGTGTGCGAGTGTCTCAGCGTCTTTCTGACAGATTGGTCTGCAGACAAAGCAAGTTCCGACCTTATATTTCTGTAGTTCTTTGAGCGACAATGAGAGGATTAAGACAGTTTTGTGCATGACAGGTTGGGGTGGAGACAAAGCAAGTTCCGACCTCATGATTTTTGTTGCTCTTTTCATATGAAGAAGAAACTCTGTGCGTGACACATTGTCAGGAGGCAGTCGAGAGGAAGGGGCTTCAGGCTGGTGCAGGTTTCTTGTGCGTTGCTGAGTGTTTATTGTTGCAGACATGTCTCAGGTGAAAACACGAGCGAACGGGAAGAACCAGGTGTCGGCCTGAGCATTGTAGGCTGTTATCAGAGATTCAGTGTGGGTTTCCTCGTTTCTGAGTCATGCTTATTTTGTTTGACGTGCATGGGTGCATGTAAACTCTACAGCACTGCGTGCCCGCTTCCATGCGTAAAGGTGCGGCGCGTGCGTGCCGGCCTGGGCTTCAAGGCAGGCCTGACAAGCTTGATTTTCTCTGTGACGCTTGTCTGGATGGTTCTCACCCAGGTTTGCAGCGACTGAGCCATCGGCTGCTATAAGCCCCTATCATGCAACATTGATGCGCTTCGGATTTAACTCAAAGGTTTTCCAAGATGCACTAAAAGATTTTTAATTTCCTAGCTATATAAAAACCGGCTTCCCATGACTTGCAATATTACCAGCATAATCCTAAAAGTCTTCAATGTCGAATTCTTGAATCTTCGGACGGTAGGACTTCAAACTTTCGAGAACGGTCCACGCAAGCTAGGCAACGCCTGCTCCATCTTCGACTGCTTATAGCAGCAAGGTTCGCATGACGTTTGAGAGCCGGTGTGGGTGGGTGGGCAAAGAAAATTGATCTGTCTCGCTGTGTGAGCCAGACCTGCATTTGGGATGCACGCTCTTATTCCTTTATCAAGCAATGCAAGAAAACGAGAGCAAGTGGCGGGCTCTTAAGCAAGGGCCGAAAACATTGTGTACAACAAAGGGCCATGCACTGTTGTTTTCCTTACAGGACGTTGCGCACCGCACCTGTTGCTCTCTGGAATACAATACTATCACGTCCCGGATTTCGGGTGCTCCGCAACCCCTTCCTTACTTCCCAAGAGCCCCAAAAGCCTACTTTGTTGCTGTTGGTTATACTTAAGTAGGGCTGCAAGTACCCGAAAGATGGTGACAACCATGCTCACCCTTCTTATAACCCTACTTACAAGTACCCGTGAACCTCCGAGTACCCGAGTAAGGCTATTTGAAAGGAACCGATGCCCCCAGCAGGAAGCTGCTCTGGAGCCGAGCCCGAAGAAGGACTCAACCCCTAAGCTCCGGGGCTTAGGAGGTGTTCGGGTTTAGGGCTTACGGTTTATGGTTTAGGGTTTAGAGTTAGGGTTTAGGGTTAGAATTTAGGGTGGGTATCATAAGGGGCGGCTTGGAGCCGTGAGGGCTTAGAGCCAGAGAATCTCGAAAGGGCCGTGTGTCTTTCCTTCTCCGATGCGGGGGGGGGGGGGGGGGGGGGAGGGAGGTTGAAATCATTAGCATCAGGGTGCCGCGGCCCTGAACAGCTTAAACCCAGTTTCGTGGCGCTCCCATGCTCTGGGCCCGTCTTTCGGGCCCTTCCATATGAACAAGTTGTGTGTTTCGACAGGAAACGCCCCAAATCCTAAACCCTAAACCCGAAACCCTAAGACCCAAGCCCTAAACCCCGAACCCAAACCCTAAACCTCATGAACCTGAACCCTGGAATAGGTACCGGTTCGAAGCCTTTGGCTTAGGGCGTTTAGGGTTTAGGGTTTAGGGCTAACCTTTTTGAGGGCTTATAGGGCTTTTGGGCTTATAGGGCTTTAGGACTTTCGAGTGTGAGGGTCTTAGGGTTTAGGGTTTGTGGTTTTAGGGTTGTATGGTTCAGGCAAGTTGTTTAGAGCAGAACCTGGAAGCTGCTGTGATACAGGGTTAGGGCTTGGGGTTGACATTAGAAGCTTCAGCAAGTGACTAACCCCTAAGCCCTAAAACCCGTCAAACCCCTAAAGTCACACACCCCAAGCCCTGAAGTTCCTAAAGCCCCACACCCCAATCGCTCAACCCCACGCCGACACCCAACATGAAACCCAGCGGCTGCGTCAGGACCTAGCTCAGGGCGCACCTCATGCTACGGAGCTTCCTCCTTTTCCCATCATCAGCTCGCCCCAGGAGGCCCAAGAGAGGGCGGGGGGGGGGGGACTGTGGAAAGCCCGTTTAGGGCTTTAGGGTTGCGAAAGCCCCTCACCTTCAGTCTTGCTTGCACCCTAAACCCTCGGCCCTCAGCTAAGCATCTTGCAACTGCTACCTTAGCATCTTGCAACTGCTACCTTTGCTTTCTTGGGTTTTAGAGCAACCGAGCGAGGAAGAGCTGGCGCACAGCCTGTTCAGCACGTGGGTGCAGAGTCTTGGTCCGCACTTGGGAGTCTAGGGGGTGAGTATGAGTTCAAAAAGTAGCCGCCTATCTGTTTTGGATAGGTACTTATTGGATAGGGGTCTATCGCAATCAGGATAGGTCCCTATCCGTACCCCCCTACCCCCAGGCGATAGACCCCTATCCCCAGGGGTCTCCCCGATGTGGATAGGTACCTATGCATAGGCCCCTGTCCGAAAAGGATAGGGGTCTATATATAGGGGGCTGTCGCCCGGACCTAGACCCCTATCCGTGGCATAGACCCCTATCCCTTTCCGATAGGGCCCTATCCGTCCCTTCCTTCGTCGCCTCACAACTATACCCTAAGCCCTGAGTCCCTACACCCTAAACCCTAAGCCCTAAGCCTGAGCCCTAAAAAACCCTAATCCCGAAACCCAAAAAGAAACCCTAATCCCTAAAAACCCTAAACCCTAAATCCAGCCCTAAACCCAAGAAAACCTAAACCCTAAAGAACCCCTAAGAAACCCTAATCCCAAAAAAAAAAACCGTAAACCCTAAATCCAGCCCTAAACCCTAAAAACCTGTCCCTAAACCCTAAACCCTAAACCCTGAACCCTGAACCCTAAACCCTAAACCCTAAACCCTAAACCCTAAACCCTAAACCCTAAACAACCCTAAACCATAAAAACCCCGAAACCCAATAAGCCCTAAACCCTAGACCCTAAACCCTAAACCCTAAACCCTAAACCCTAAACCCTAAACCCTAAACCCTAAACCCTAAACCCTAAACCCTAAACCCTAAACCCTAAACCCTAAACCCTAAACCCTAAACCCTAAACCCTAAACCCAGCCTTATGCCCAGAAAAAATCCCTAAGCCCTAAACCCTTAAGAACCCTAAACCCTAAAAACCCCTCAGCCCTCAACCCTTAAAAACCCTAAGCCCTAAACCCTGAAAACCCTAAACCCTAAACCCTGAAAACCCTAAACCCTAAACCGTACAAACCTCGGAACCCTATAAGCCCTACACCCTAAGAACCCCTTGCCCTAAACCCTAAAAAACCCTCAACTTCAAACCCCGAAAACCCTAAACCCTAAACAACCCTAAGCACAGGCATGTTTTTTCAAGCCCATCATGCGAGCATTCTGTGTGCAAATGGGGGGGGGGTTGCGCCCCCCCCCCAACCCCCCCGCTTAATTCTTTTTCGAACCCATCATGCGAGTGGTGTTTGCAAATGGGACCCGAAACCCAAAAATAAACCCTAATCCCTAAAAACCCTGAACCCTAAATCCAGCCCTAAACCCAAAAAAACCTAAACCCTAAAGAACCCCTAAGAAACCCTAATCCCTAAAAAACCGTAAACCCTAAATCCAGCCCTAAACCCTAAAAACCTGTCCCTAAACCCTAAACCCTAAACCCTGAACCCTGAACCCTAAACCCTAAACCCTAAACCCTAAACAACCCTAAACCATAAAAACCCCGAAACTCAATAAGCCCTAAACCCTAGACCCTAAACCCTAAACCCTAAACCCGAAACCCTAAACCCTAAACCCTAAACCCTAAACCCTAAACCCTAAACCCAGCCTTATGCCCAGAAAAAATTCCTAAGCCCTAAACCCTTAAGAACCCTAAACCCTAAAAACCCCTCAGCCCTCAAGCCTTAAAAAACCCTAAGCCCTAAACCCTGAAAACCCTAAACCCTAAACCCTAAACCCTAAAAACCCTAAACCCTAAACCGTACAAACCTCGGAACCCTATAAGCCCTACACCCTTAGAACCCCTTGCCCTAAACCCTAAAAAACCCTCAACTTCAAACCCCGAAAACCCTAAACCCAAAAAAACCCTAAGCATAGGCATGTTTTTTCAAGCCCATCATGCGAGCATTCTGTGTGCAAATGGGGGGGGGTTGCGCCCCCCCCCCAAACCCCCGCTTAATTCTTTTTCGAACCCATCATGCGAGTGGTGTTTGCAAATGGGAAGGGGGGGGGTAAAAATCCCTAAACCCTAAACCCCAAAAAAAACCCAAACCCTAAGAATCTTTAAGTCCTAAAAGCCTAAACAGAGGCATGTTTTTTCAAGCCCATCATGCGAGCAGTGTGTGTGTCAAATGGGGGGGGGCTGCGCCCCCCCCAACCCCCCCGCTTAATTCTTTTTCGAACCCATCATGCGGGGAAGAATCCCTGTACCCTAAACCCCAAAAAACCCTAAACCCTAAAAATCTGTAAGCCCTAAAAACCCCCTAGAACCCAAAAAACCCGAAACCCTCCCTAATCCCGAAACCCGAAAACCCCTAAAGCCTAAAAAGCTCTGAGGCCTGAACAAGAAATCCTAAACCCTAAAAACCCCTAAACTCTGAACCCCCCCAAAACCCTACAAAAACCCTACACCCGAAACTCTCGCTCGAGCACAAGTGATACATTTGTTACCATGGGGGTCTATGGGTTTGTGGATAGGGTCTATCCGGAGGGGGGTAGGGGCCTATCAAAAATGGACAGGGGTCTATGCCGCATAGGGGGGTGGTATAGGTAGGGATAGGGTCTATGCATAGGGGTCTATTGGAAAAGGCATAGGGCCTATGCATAGGTGTCTATGCATAAACGGACAGGTCCTATGTATAGGGTCCCACCACGGACGGGGAAGGCTCAGGGAATAGGACCCTATCCCAAAACCATAGGGGTCTCTATAGGGTCTATCGACGTCTATGATAGGGGGCTACTTTTTAGACCTATCTTCTAGGGGGTTGGTTCAAGGTCTCGGCAAAGATGAGTCCCTCTCCCCACCGTTGTCGGGAAACTTTACCATGCCAGCGAAGTGCAAATAACCCATAGAACGGACACGCAAAGCCCTCAAGTGAGGGAGTCGTAAGGGATAAACCCCTCAACCGGGAGGGGGCGGGGGCGGCGGGGCGGCTGCAAGAACAGGATCCTTGCTATAGCCTCAGGAAATGTTGAAGTCAGGGGTGTTGAGTTCTCCCTACTGGTTCTTCGTAGGGAATGAGGGAATTAGGCCTCCTATATGGCCCCTAATTTACCCCTAAACCCTAAATCAGACTTGCCTCTGGGGAACTTGATGCGAGTTAGGGTTTAGGGTTTAAGGTTTAGGGTTTTAGGGTTTAGGGAATAGGGTTAAAGGTGACGGGTTACCGGGATTAGGGTTGAGCCTAGTCAAACCCTAAGCCAACTGTATCCCCTCGCCTCCCCGAGAGCTCCATACTTAGGTCTACGACCCCCTTACTCGAGAATATGCTTCACATCGAAATCAGGATCCCTTGGATGACTTAAGGACTATTGTTCGATGAATGGGGCGTTGGGTTCTACAGTATTCCAGCGTAAGACCGCCAAGGACGAGCTCCTCGTGCCAAGTGCCCCCGATTGCAGCTGGGCAGCAGCAGCCAGACAGCCAGATGCACAACATCGGCCTCTACACAGCCTCCCTTTACCAGATACCCCTAAACCCTCCACTCTAGAGACTCTAGGTCCTAATATGGGCATTTCCCAAAATAGGGGTACCCCTTTCTTACCCCAAATCGGATAGAATCCCCTTAAAGGGACCCCCCCCCCCCCCCCCAAAAAAGGTACCCCCTATTTTCAGAAGCCCCCATCTCATCTGTGAACCCTAAGCCTAGGCCCTAAGCTCGAAGCCCGCCCCCGTCATGAGACCTCTAAGCCCCGAAGACCCAAATGCACCCCAAACCCGAAACCCTCAACCTGAAACCCTAAACCCTAAACCCTAAACCTTAAACCCTAAACCCTAAACCCTAAACCCTAAATCCAAAACCCTAAACCCTAAACCCTAAAGCGTGCCCAGGTCGCCGAGGCCGCGCAGCTCTGCGCAGAGGTGGATGCTCTGCTGGGCCTGGGCCCTAGTTTCGGGTGGGAGGGGGGGGAGTTTAGGGTTGAGGGTTGAGGGTTCAGGGTTTAGGGTTCTTCAGGTTTAGGGGCTTAGGGCTTAGGGCTCAGGATGTAGAATGTTAAGGTTTCAGGAGCCTTATGAGTACTTGCAAGGTGTTGGGCCGGGGCATTCCCTGCCAAGAACCAAGCAATGCAAAGTTTTGGGGTTTTGGTTGAGGGCTCAATGAGACGCAGGGTTGAGGGCTTAGTTTCAGAAGTCGAGGTTTAGGGTTCAGGGTACCCCTACTCTCCCTGAACCCAAGACCCAAAACCCCATCCCCCCAATCCCCGAGCTCACCCACACGCCCCCAACAACCCTAAATCTAAACCCTCCAAACCCAAAACACCCTCTAAACCATATAAACCCTCTAAACCCTCTGAGCCCTCTAAGCCCTCTAAACCCTCTAAACCCTCCAAACCTTCTACACCCTTCCCCGTCCCCCCCAGCTTAGGAGACGACCGGGGCCACCCGCCCCAAAGCCCTTCCAGCGGCGCCCAGGCTTTTCCCACGGCCCCTTTTGATGTCGGTCTTGCGTTTAGGGTTTAGGGTTTAGGGTTTGGGGTTTAGGGTTTAGGGTTTAGGATAATTGAGGTTCCTGTGTTTGGTGTGTTGGCGAGGGGTCGGGGTCTTCATGTCAGACGTTTAGAGCTTCCTTCAGGCTTCGGAGTTTAGACTTTGGACCCGAAGGCCCCAATATATGGTTGGTTGTCAAAATTATGATCCCTTTTGGGGTACCCTAAATACGAGGTGCCGTATTATAATTTTAGGGATCCAAAAAGGGACCATCATTTTAACAACCACCCATATACCAACAAAAACCATGGACCTGGTTCATTCCCGTGCTTGCGGGAAGGCCCATATTGGGCGGGTTTAGGGTTTAGGGTTTAGGGTTTAGGGTTTAGGGTTTAGGGTTTAGGGTTTAGGCTTTAGGGTTTAGGGTTTAGGGTTTAGGGTTTAGGGTTTAAGGTTTAAGGTTTAGGGTTTAGATTAGGAAGAGATCAAAACCTTTGAAGACTGCAGTGGTACTCCCAGGCTCTAGGGCTCCGGGGCGTGTGACTCACTGCGTTTCACTGATTTTGGGTTGTAGGGCTTGCTTAGAAAAATTTGCTCTGGGTTCCCTAAACCCTAAACCCTAAACCCTAAACCCTAAACCCTAAACCCTAAACCCTAAACCCTAAACCCCAAACCCCAAAGCCTAAACCCTAAACCCTAAACCCTAAACCCTAAACCCTAAACCCTAAACCCTAAACCCTAAACCCTAAACCCAAAACCCTAAACCCTAAACCCGAAACCCCAAACCCCAAACCCTAAACCCTAAACCCTAAACCCTAAGCCCCTTCTTTTTCATACTGGGGCCAGTCATGCCTGCCTCTCGCGAACTCTGGCCGTTGTCCCAATTTTCGAGGAGCTGAGAAGGATGCAATTCAGTCATCAGCCCTGTCTGAAGCAGCGGCGCAGAGCCCCTCTGAGCTGGAGCACCTTCAAAAGGACGCTTTCGAGCTGCGTGCAAAGCTCGTGCAGAAGCAAGTTCGGCTCCGGCACCCACAGGAGCTAGGACCGATAGGAGTGGCTGGCATGTCAGCCCAGCCATGGCCTAGGCCCGAAGCTCTTTAGACCCTAGAGAGGCCACAGCCAAAAAGCTATAAAAAAAACCAAGCCCCAGATCCGAACCAAAGCCTTCGACACGAATCTCTAAAGGAAGAGGTAAGCTCATCAAGGCCCCTTGAAACCCTTGTCAGTGTCGATGGAGCTGAGGGCTTAAACTCTCTGTTCACTAGGCCCACCAGAATAAATGAGGGCTGTGGAACCCTCGTGAGCTCCAAGATTCTTAACAAATCCCTGAACCCCGATAACACTACGGGTTGGGGCCGCAAGCCCCAGACCCCAAACAACCTGATCACCCTTCTTCCAGGCCTGGGAAAAAGAGCCTCTGCGCATGCCGGCTGCTCTGCAGGCTCAGTGTCTAGAGCGCAGGGCGGGGGGAGCTAGTTGTTTCTAGGGTCTAGGGTTAACTTGGGGGAAGATGGGATTTAGGGTCTAGCGGAAAGTTAAAGTCTCCCCTTCTCTCCCCTTCTCTCCCCTCCCCATCCCTCCTCTCCCTCCTCTCCCCGCTCTCCCTCCCCTCCCCTCCCTCCCCCCTCTCCCCTCTCCCCTCTCCCCCTCCCCTCCCTCCTTCCCTTTCTCTCAGTGCAGGCTTGTCAGGTGCTGGCACCAACGGATGATAACCCTGAACCCTAAACCTGCTCAACGCAAAACCGAAAACTGAGGAACCTCACGTGCTGCTTACCAACATGAGCTGTTTCATTTCTATGGGTCGGATTGACCCTAAGCCCGCACAAACCTTAACCCTAAACCTTAAACCCCAAACCCTGATGCCGAACCTCGAATCCCTGAACCCTAATCCCGAAACCCTAATCCCTAGCCCTAACCTTAGCCCTAAACCCCAAACCTTAAACCCTCAACCCGCAACCCTCAACCCCTAACCCCCTAAACCCTAAACCGTAAACCCTAAACCCTACACCCTCATCCCTAAACCGAACGGAGCCTTCCAACTCGTGGGGCGCAACAGGTGCCGGAACAGGACTTTGAGCGGCCGCGCTACGACCCACGCCGTCCGGACAGAACAGGGGGCTTGAGGATGCTTCAGGCTTTGGGCATGTTTGGGTTGAGGGTTTTTAAAAACAGAAGAGGGTTTTCAAAAACCCTCTGATGCTTAAGGCTTTGGGCATGTTTTGGGTTTGGGTTTTAGGGCTTGGGGTAGGGTTTAATGGTTTAGGGTTTGTAGGGTTTAGGGTTTGTCGGGTTTAGGGTTTGCAGGGTTTGGGGTTTGTAGGGTTTGGGGTTTGTAGGGTTTAGGGTTTAGGGAGTTTAGCACGTCTCCACCACGGGGCACGGCTAGAACTTAGGGTTCAGGGTTTAGAGGTTGTCAGGGTCCAGGGGGTTCTGGGTAGTCTGCGTTCAGGGCTTCATGGCATACGAGTTGAAGGTCGACGGGCCAGGATGTGAGGCTGAGTCCAAATCGTGCGCCCTGGGACATGGGATTTTCAGACCCAAATATTTTCAAACCGTAAATAGCCCAAACTCCACTTCCTTAAGCTTCCTGAACTCCTACACCCCAAAAGCCCAAACGTGTGGACGACTTGCGCCTTAACTTGCAGCATGCATCGCCGAACCGCTTGGATAGGGCGAAGGAGCCCTTTAGCCTCTAAACCCTTAAGCCTGACCTGGGACCCTACTTACCGACAGTTTTTTGCGGGTTATACCTGCTACTTCAGGGGTAGTTACTACCTAGGACCGGGAGAAGGCCCTTTTTTACTTTTTTAAGGGTTGGGGTTCCCTTACAGCTCCAAAAAGGGTACCCTTTTTATTCCTAGGTTACTCCCGGGTCTAGCTACTAACCTGTAGGTGAAGAGGGTCCCAGGTAGGCCATTGAAGTACCCCGGTCCGTGCCTGCGTGTTCCTTGTTCTGTCTGAGTGCTGTGCTTGGCACATGTTCTGGTCGTCCGAGGGTGCTTGGGATGGTTCCCCTTTGTACTAACAGTCCTTAATAGGCATGATAGTACCTAAACCCTAAACCCTAAACCCTAAACCCTAAACCCTAACCCCTAAACCCTAAACCCTAAACCCTAAACCCTAAACCCTAAACCCTAAACCCTAAACCCTAAACCCTAAACCCTAAACCCTAAACCCTAAACCCTAAACCCTAAACCCTAAACCCTAAACCCTAAACCCTAAACCCTAAACTAAACCCTAAACTGCCGAGAGCGCCGCTGTCCATTTACATGGGCGCTCGAGGCTTCGACCGAGGTCCCCGACCGAGCGTCTCTACAGAACGGTGAGGGAGGGTAAAGCCTCCCGGTAGACGGGGCCTGCAGTGCCTGGCTACGCCTCAGACCTAGGGCGTAAGCCCTAATATAATTAGGACCCCAAACCCCCAGCCATTGAGGTCTTTTGGTGTTTTTTAGGGGGTCCGGGGGCGTACCCCCCAAACAATTCCGGGCCCTGAGCTGGCAGATTCCAGCCCCCCCTCCTTCTGGGCTGGTGTAGGGGGCAACCTGCAAAAAAACGCTCTTAGGCACCTTGACCCCCCTGGGACCCCCTGGGACCCCCCTTTGGGACCTCCCTCAAACTTTTTTGGACCGCCTGCGAGCTGGGACCCCCCTCTGGGACCCCTTTCTGGGACCCTTTTGCTGCCTGGGACCCCCTTCCTGGGACCCCCCTCCTGAAACCCGCTCTTTGCTGGGACCCCCCTCCTGCAACCCCATCCCTGGGAACCCCTGGGACCTCCTGGGACCCCCTGACACCCCCCTCAGCCTTCAGGGACCTCCGTGCACCCCGAAACTGACCTTCCTCACAACAGAGTGCTGCTTGTTCTAAGGCCGGCGTTTGCCGGACCGCCTAGGAGACTTCTTGGGACCCCCCTGCGACCGCCTTTCTGGTAAGCAGGGGCCGGCCAAGGCCCCTGCTTCCCCCCAGCGTTTTGGGCTGTGGGTCGGGGTTTGCCAAGACCCGCACTGAACATTTGACGGTTTTGGGCACCCCTCCAGTTCCGTGAAAGCTCCAAGAAGCCTACAAGCCACTGACCGGCTCCACAAAGCTCGGGAGGCCCCACCCTGCTCTTTCTCTGTACAAAGCAAGAAAGCCCCCCTTGAGGGGGGTTTGGGGGGTGAACCCTAAACCCTAAATGAGAATAGTTTGGGTGGTTGGGGTGGGACTACATGCTAACGCAAGCGAGCGGCCCGGGTGCTTTTAGCACCAGCGAGCTTCCCTTCTATACACCCTACACCCTAAACCCTAAACCCTAAACCCTAAACCCTAAACCCTAAACCCTAAACCCTAAACCCTAAACCCTAAACCCTAAACCCTAAACCCTGAACCCTAAACCCTAAACCCTAAACCCTAAACCCCAAACCCTAAACCCTAAACTGGGGGAGCATCCCAATGGGGTGCCAGTAGCACGTGTTTTTCCAAGGTGAGAGGGAGTGCTCCCCGCTGGCTGGGTGATGTCGCCCGTAGGGCGATTCTATTGGTGTGAGATTGACTACTATTTGCTTCAGAACCCCCCCAAAAAACTCAAAAACATAAACATATACTACTTAAAGATCTTCTTCCTTGTAAGGGCAATATAGGGATTATTATTTTGTTTTTAGTTTTTGGGGGTTCTTAAGCAAATTGTGGTTGAGGCAAATACTACGAGCTGCCACCACAGCCCGGCCAGTCGCCGCCACGAGAACCGAAGGAGAAGAAGGTTGAGGGGTTTAGGGTTTAGGGTTTAGGGTTTAGAGGCTCAGGGTTTAGAGGCTCAGGGTTCAGGGGTTCAGGTTTCTCACTTTTTTTTCAATTAGGGTCGGCTGCGTGGGCACGAAATCAGACGCAAGGCAGAGAGTTTGGGATGCTAAAGTTTAAGGAAGGTGCCTTTGTTGCTGGGCCTTCGGTTCTTCTGGAAGAGGTATGGTTCATAAGGGTTGTTACGGGGGTAGGGATTTCGGGGCTCAGGGGTCTTGAGGTTTAGGAGTGGGACTTCAGGGCTTCAGGGTTTAGGGTTTAGGGTTTAGGGTCTACATCGGGGTTCAGGAACGTTGGGCGTATGATGTGCAGATGATCGAGGGAATAGCAGGCGCAGGATTGGTCGTAAGCAGGGTTGCAGGTGAGCCTTCGCTATCTTTCCGGATGCCGAGCATGTATGACGCACCCTAAAGTTGCGGAGGAGCCCTGGAACATGCAGATGATCACCTCCGGCAGGCTAGGAGTGTAGAATGTAGATCGTGGGACTCGGAATGGAACCCTAAACCCTGAGCCTCTAACCCTAAACCCTAGGTTGCTGTGGAGCCCAGCTACAAGAGCCAGAGCCATCCACAACTTGGGTCTAGACATGACGAACCTCTGAAAAAAGGTTTCGGGCTCAGGAGGAATCCTATGAGTGGTTCTCTAAATTGGGGTCCCCTTTGTGGGTCCTAAATATAGTGCCGGCCCCCTTTAGGGTAAGGACCCAAGAAATTGACCCTGATTTCGAGCGAGGATCTCCCGAGCACCGAGCTGGGAGACTGGCTGAAGAGGCCAAGACATGCTAAAGTGCGATTAGGCTAAGGGGAGGGTTTAGGGTTTTAGGGTTTGACAATTTTAGGGTTTTCTGGATTTAGGGTTTGAGGGTTTGAGGGTTTTAGGGTTTTAGCAGGGCTTCGACACTTTAGGATGCTTAGGGTGTTGGGGTGTTGGGGATCAGGGTTTATACGGTTTAGGGGTTTGTAAGGTTTCGGGTCTAGGGGTTAGGCTTCAGGGTTTAGGGTGTTGAGTGTTCAGGTGGCTTTGGGGTTTGGGTTTAGGGTTCAGGGTGTGAGGGCTGTGATGAAGTTGATGTGGATAGGGTCGAGAGATGTCTAGAAAGCTTGTAATTTTAACGCTACGCGACGCGCCTCGGCCTGGGGAGGGGATTAGAGGTGGTGTGCCTGCTTTGCGGCGGACTATGGCCCCAAAACTACCCAATCCACGCCCAACACCCCAGAACCCTAACTCTTCAACTGTTACGGGCTGTTTGCTGGCAAGCTGCGTGCTTGCTGCGCATGGCGTGGCGAGCTTCGTTGCACCCTGTACTCTCTCCTCCGTGCCATGGCCGCACTCTATAGCCTTGTAACCCAAACCCTCACGCCACAAACCTACTCCCCTATATACGCCCCGGAACCCCACTGCCAGGTTAGGCGCCCGAAACCCTAAACCCTAAACCCTAAACCCCAAACCCTAAACCCCCGAAATCCCAAGACTCAAACAGGCTTGTGGGTTAGGGTCTCAGGCTTCAGGGCTTCAAGCCTTACGGCTTCTTGGGGGCAAGGCCTCGATCCAAGCCCCAAACCTGACGGTTTAGGGTTCAGGGCTGAGGGCTAAGGGTTTAGGGATTAGGGTTTAGGTTAGGGTTAGGGTTTAGGGTTTGGGGTTTGGGGTTTGGGGTTTGGGGTTTGGGGTTTGGGGTTTGGGGTTTGGGGTTTAGGGTTTAGGGTTTAGGGTTTAGGGTGGGGTTTAGGGTGCAGGGTGTAGGGTTTAGGGTTTAGAGGGGGAGGGGCGCTGGCTTCATCAGGTGTGCGGACAGGATCCGCCAGCGACAAGAGACTCGGCGTTGGAGCATGACGGAAGAAGGGGCGAGCGAAGCCCCTTGCGCGTGAGAGCCGTTTCCAGCTTTAGGGTTTTAGGGTTTAGGGTTTCGGGTTTAGGGTTTAGGGATGTTTAGGGTTTGGGGGTTAGGGTGTAGGGTGTAGTAGAGCTCCATGACACAGCAAAAGCCCAAACCCCTAAACCCTAAATGAACCCACGACCCCCTGAACTCCCCAAAGCAATCCGAATCGAGCGGTCCTCCATGTTTCAAGAGGTTGTGTTTTTGCATGGTAGGGGGGTTGGGGAGTTGGGGTTGGGGGCCATCAGCTCTAGAAACCCCAAAACCCCCTCAACCTGGGGTACGTACCGTTTTAAAGAGCCGCCTGAGAATCTTACACCCCTAAAACCTTAAGCCCTGAACCCTCATGTGGGGTCAGTGGTTCGAGCTTGGCCCCACAATCTCAAGCTAAGCCACGCTGCCGCGCAAGGTCGCACCCACAAGGAGTCTCTAGTTTCCAGGGCTTAGGCTTAGGGTTTAGGTGTGTAGGCTCCAAGGTTTAGGGTTTAGGCGCGTAGGGTCTAAGGTCTACGGATGTTTGGCGTGCAGGGTCTAAGGTTCTTCTTTACCCCAGCGGGTGTCCTTCGTGTACTCCCAATGGCCCCTAAAATTTGTGTGGAGCCTGCGCCACCCTGCCACTGTATCGAATCTGCACGCGGGTTGCAGGAACCACTCGAGTTTGGAGGTTTCTGAAGTTGACTCTGCATAGGCTCGCAGCTTTAACTCAGAATTTGTTTTGGGGTTTCAGGGTTTAGGGTTTCAGGTGTGGGGGCTTCAGGTATCAATGTTATAGTATTTTGGGGTTATGTAGGGTTTCAGTTTTTAGGGTTCCAGGGCATGCGGATGGTTTCTTCTCCTTGGTTCTTGGGGGTACGTACCCGGCTAAAACAATCCTCCAAACCCCAAACCCCAAACCCCAAACCCCAAACCCCAAACCCCAAACCCCAAACCCTAAACCCTAAACCCAAACTCCAAACCCTCAACCCGGAAGGGATGCTTCAGGTCTAGAAACTCTCACCTAGATAGCCCGAGACTCATGAATTCTGAAGGAAGACTGCCAGAAAGGATACGAGACATCCATCTTTGACAAAGGGTTTAGGGTTTAGGGTTGAAGGCTTCGGGCTTGGGGAAAAGGATCCGACGAAGGGGCAATTGGGTTCTCTGGGCAGAAACCTTCAACATGAGTTGGGTACCATTTTACATTTCTAAGGGTGCTTAAAACCCAATAAGGAATAAACATGTAGATGTTCAATATCATCCCAGCCATGAACTAGAAACCTTCAACATGAGTGGGACAGCCGGCGCGATCTCGGGGTGCGCAAAGATCTGCGGCCGGGCTTTGGCGCCAGGGGCTTTAGCTAGGATGCCCAGTAGTACCCTTATTCCCTTTTTGGGGGGTTTAGGTTCCCTTATAAACCCCTTTAAGCAAAAAGGGTACCCTTTTTAAGCCTTGGTTACTGGACAGCCTAGTTAGAAGCTGCTTGGGTTTGGTGGTTGATGGGCTCGACCTGAAGTCCGGAAGGTTCATAGGTAGAAATAAGTAGGCTAAGGGTTTAGGGTTTAGGGTTTAGGGTTTAGGGTTTAGGGTTTAGGGCTTAGGGCTTAGGGTTTAGGGTTTAGGGTTTAGGGTTTAGGGTTTAGGGTTTAGGGTTTAGGGTTTAGGCCTTCCCTGGGCGCACAGGCCCTGAAACCTGGACAGGCCTAAACCCTAAACCCTAAACCCTAAACCCTAAACCCTAAACCCTAAACCCTAAACCCTAAACCCTAAACCCTAAACCCTAAACCCTAAACCCTAAATTCCTAAACCCTAAGCCCTAAACCCTAATTTCCTAAACCCTAAACCCTAAACCCTAAACCCTAAACCCTAAACCCTAAACCCTAAACTCTAAACCCTAAACCCTAAACCCTAAACCCTAAATCCTATAGTAGATGCCGGCAACTACCGAGTGCTATATGCCTGACTACTGTGACTACGACACGAGTTTTGCTCAAATTTGTGAGGCTTGCTGCGAAGATGCCGACTTAAGGTATTAAGGGCCCTAACCCTAAACCCTAAACCCTAAACCCTGAACCCTGAACCCTGAACCCTGAACCCTGAACCCTGAACCCTGAACCCTGAACCTGGAACCTGGAACCCTAAACCCTAAACCCTAAAGAAGCCCTCAACCCTAAATGAACCCTAAACCTGCCCTAAACCTAAAACCCTGAATCTGTAAGGTGTCAAAATCACTTGCCCGGCTTAGGCGTCAGGGTTACGGGACGAGGGTCTAGCCAAAGAAGCGCGCCGCTCTGCCCGGCCACGTAGGATGTCGGGTCTGGGTTTTTTCGTTTTCAGGGTTCCTAGACCCTAAGCCCTAATTAAGCCCTAAACCCTAAACCCTAAACCCTAAACCCTAAACCCTAAACCCTAAACCCTAATCCCTATTTAAAACCTAAATTCCCAACCACCTGGCCGGTCTTTGCTCAATGTAGCCTCTCGTTGTATGCCAAATATCATGCGACCTGATTACTGGTCGCTGCCCCAGCTGTCGGACGCTTCAGGGTCTCAGGGGTTTGCAATACAAGCCAAAGAAACATCAGCAGGCATCGGCATCCCCTAAATAGTAAAGTTGCAAAAGTTGCGCATTCCAATTAGATAAATAGGTCAGGCAACGCCAGTTTGGACACATCATCCTTCACCCGGCCTCAAGCTGTTGAGTTCAGCCCAAACCTCAAGTGCTTGAAGGTGCTTACTTCAGGGTTCATCGCAATGGGTACTTATAAGTGGGGTGAAAAGTCCCTCATAAGTTTGTAACCATAGCTACCCAACTTATAACCCTACTTACAAGTACCCATCCTCCAAGTAGGCAGGTTCACAGTCCACCCTCGCGTCCTAACAGGGGCAACACAGTTTTCGTCAAACGTTTAGCTGCCCGAAGCCCTAACCTAAAAGCATCTCTGCATTCTAACCTTCAACCCCCTCAGCCCTAAACCCTAAGCCCAACATGTCTCCGAGTACTCTGCCCATGGCTCCGGAAACAAGATGTTTATCGGGTTGTAGGGTTATGGGGTTGCAGGGTTGCGGTCTTCGGGTTCAGGGTTTAGGGTTTAGGAAGTTTCAACCTCAAGCCCGAAGAACTCGCAGAGCAGGACCATCAGACGATGGGCGGTGGACCCTGTAACCCCAAACCCCAAAGCGAACAAATTCACAAGACCATAGAGAACCTTTGGCCATGCAGTTTCCGGGTGAATGTGCATCGGGGTAAACCCTAAACCCTAAACCCTAAACCCTAAACCCTAAACCCTAAACCCTGAACCCTGAACCCTGAACCCTGAACCCTGAACCCTGAACCCTGAACCCTGAACCCTGAACCCTGAACCCTGAACCCTGAACCCTGAACCCTAAACCCTAGACCCTGAACCCTGAACCCTAAACTCTCAACCAGGGACCATGTGGAGACCATGCGCAGTCTACGTTCTGCTGGCAAGCAACTTGTTGCTGGTGGCCGGTGCCTTCCTTGCAAGATGCTCCAGACCCGTTGAGTTGACGCGCTTGGTTAGGGTTCAGGGTTCAGGGTTCAGGGTTTAGGGTTTAGGGTTTAGGGTTTAGGGTTTAGGGTTTAGGGCTTAGGGTTTAGGGTTAGGGTTTAATTAGGGTTCAGGGTAATTCGTCAGTGCCGACATGTTGTTGGATGGTTCCGCTGGACTTGTAACTCAACCTGTTCTGCTTCTTGCAGCTTGTGATTTCGCCTTTGGGGGTAGTTGGGGGAAACAGTCCCACCGAAAAGAGCGCAAAGCCCCGGAAGATGGCACAGACGCCAGCAAGATGCCCTGACTTCTCCTGGGAACGCCGTTGAGGGCCCGCATCCTGCTGTTGTCTCCCAATCTTATGCAGAGAAGCTCCAGGAAGCCCTCTTTGAACCTGAATCCTAGCTAAACTTACAGCCCTAAACCCAAATCAAAGCCTCAACAAAGCCCAAACAAACCCAAGCCCGAAACCGGAAGACCCTAGCACCAGGCCGCAAGATGGGCACTTGTAGGCAGGGTTGCAAGTACGGCAACTACACCTCTAAGCTGAACCCTAAACCCACAACCCAAAACCCAAAACCCTAAACCCTAAACCCTCAACCCTAAACCCTAAACCCTAAACCCTAAACCCTAACACCCTTATGACGAGCCTGACGACAGCCTCCGCAGGCCTCCGCAGCGAGGAGAAGCTCTACGAGATCGGCAGAAGGCCTCTGCATGTGCTTTGCCGTGCGAAGTCGGAGTCTTGGGGAAGTTTAGGGTTTAGGGTTCAGGGTTCAGGGTTTAGGGTTTAGGGTTTAGGGTTTAGGGTGAGATGGTTGTTTGTGCTTCGGGATGAGGCTAGAGGGTTTGGGGCTTTCAGACCTCACCTTGACGCCTAAATCACTGGATAGGGCGGTTATCGCAGGGGCTATGTCGCAACCCTAAACCCTAAACCCTAAACCCTAAACCCTAAACCCTAAACCCTAAACCCTAAACCCTAAACCCTAAACCCTAAACCCTAAACCCTAAACCCTAAACCCTAAACCCTAAACCCTAAACCCTAAACCCTAAACCCTAAACCCTAAACCCTAAACCCTAAACCCTAAACCCTAAAACCCTAAACCCTAAACCCTAAACCCTAAACCCTAAACCCTAAACCCTAAACCCTAAACCCTAAACCCTAAACCCTAAACCCTAAACCCTAAACCCTAAACCCTAAACCCTAAACCCTAAACCCTAAACCCTAAACCCTAAACCCTAAACCCTAAACACCCTCAACCCTAAACCCTAACCCCCGCCACAAGCCCCAAGGGTTTCGGGGTTCAGCTCAAGCAGGAGCACGAAGAAGGTGCGCCTCCTTCTCGTTCGGCACGGTCTGCGGGAGCCTGAGCTGCCACAAAAGACCCGGAATCCTTGACTCGGTACTGGGAGGTTCAGGGTTTAGGGTTTAGGGTTTAGGGTTTAGGGTTTAGGGTTTAGGGTTTAGGGTTTAGGGTGGCACTTCTTAACCAATTACGACTGTAC